ATGATGATGATGATGAAGATGATGTTGATGATGATGATGATGATGAGGATGCTGATGATGCTGATGATGATGCTGATGATGATGATGCTGCTGATGCTGATGATGATGAGGAGGAGGAGGAGCTGCCTTCTCCGCCTCGCCTCCTCTCCCCTCCTCGTCCCGGCGGGCGGCCGCCGCCACGTGCACCCTCTCTTTGCACCCGTCTCTCGGCCACGGACGTGCTGCCATGGTGCCATGGAGCCTGCCGAGGGGTCTCTTCTCTTCTCTCCTCTCCTCTCTCTCCGGCTGTCCTCTCCTCTCCTCTCCTCTCCTCTCTTCTCTTCTCTTCTCTTCTCTCTCCTCTCCTCTCCTCTCCTCTCCTCTCCTCTCTTCTCTTCTCTTCTCTTCTCTTCTCTTCTCTTCTCTTCTCTTCTCTTCTCTTCTCTTTTCTTTTTTCTTATCGTCTCTTATATTCTCCACTTTTGTCTTGCATGCATTATCTTCTTCTCTCTTTTCTTAGCATCTCCTCTCATCTTCTCTTCTCGTCTCTGATCTCTTCTGATATCTTCTCTTATCTTCTCTTCACTCTCTTCTCTTCTCTCTCTCTTCTCTTCTCGTATTAACCAATCGACTCTTCTTCTCTACTCCCTCTCCTCCACTATCCTGTCTCCCTCCTCCGCCTTCCTCCTTCTGCTCCCCCACTCTCCCTTCGCCCTCCCCCACAGGATATGGTGGAGCTTAGCGTGCGCCGACTTCGAGAACGTGCACGCTAACCTGGACGAGTACATAGACACCTTTGTGACGCTCTACCGCGAGGAGGGGGGACCCGCAGTGGATCGGGCGGTGGTCCGCAGAACCATCCTCTTGACCGCCGTGGACTCGCTCATGCTGATGGTGAACGCTGTGCCGAAGTGCTTGCGGCTGTGCCCGGCGGAGGATTGGAGGTCTCGGCCCGAATACGCTGTCGTCTATCTCTCTTCCCTCCCTTTTGTTCCCCCGTGCCGACGTGTCGGCCTCCCTCGTCCTCGTAGTTGTCCCCCTTCCCTGTCCTCCTCGTTCTCCTCGTCCTCTTCTCCTTCCTCGTGCTCCTCCTGGTCACCACACAGCCATACGTACAGGCGCACATATACATGGACGGCGCCGTCTCGCATATCAGCACGCCCAGGCACAGACACGCTCACGCACAAGCGCACGTTGCATTCATTTTCCTGTGAACGCGCAGGCGCGCGCATCCCTGCGGACACCCTACCCTCAGTACTCCCTTGCCAACGGCCCATAACGTACACCCAGAAGAACCTATACCTCTTCACACTCATCGTAGTGTCAAATCTTTTCTGCCCTCGTCATCCTCTTCGTTCCAAGCAGCGTCATTTGTATGTCAGATCATCCATTCAGATTTCTTTCTACAAGTCGATGTATCCTTTCCTTCACGTGCACGTACAACCGCAGACCAGGCCAGTATATTCTCGCTCACGTGTGCCATAGAAGCAAAGTTCGGCCTCACGGTTGTGTGCGTAGCTAGACAGACGGTCCTAAGCATTCCCGCCCTTCGCTGACAGGGGCCCGCAATCCATGCTGAGGCAGGCGTAACACCGTGTTGTTGATGGGCAACCACTGAGCCATGGGTGCCCATGTGTGTTGGCGTTTTTGTGTTTCTTTGTTGTCTGTTTGTTTAACTATTTGCTTGCTTGCTTGCTTGTTTGCTTACTTACTTGCTTGCTTGCTTGTTTGTTTCGTGGTTTTGCTGGTTGTTTGTGTTTCCAAGCAGCCGTGGACTGCGGCGCAGCTTCGGGTCTGCCTCGTGATCCTTCTTGCACCCGTCGCCCAGCGAGTGGCACTCTGCAGGACAGCGCCACTCGCGCCCAGGTGGGCCGGGCTTCACAGCCGTTCCTGCCTCCCATGCGCCTGCCGTAGGTCCCGCGCCGTGTCGCCCGCGCGCATGCGCTGCCCGCCCACGGCGCCCGGCCACCTTTCCTCGTCGCGCCGCCCTTTGCCACAGCGCCAGAGCTCCTCTTCCATCCTCCTCCTGGCCCTCCTCCTCCTCGGCTTGCCATCGTGAAATTTGAATTACTGCACAGCATGGCACGCCACAGCAATGCATGGAAGGGCACGGGAAATCATTGCGCAGTGCTCGTGGTATTGCGCAGCGCAACATCGAACAGCACATCAAAGCAACGAAAACAACGAAGCACACCAACGCGACACGAAGGAGCCCCCGAGGAACCCTTGGGATCTTCAGGGACCTCCCCAGGACCCCCTGGGAGGTGCCGAGGCCCCCCCGGGAGAACCGTCGAGGAGTCCCCTGGAAACCCATGGGACACGCTGGGACCACGCATGATCGCCAGCATCGTTGCCACGCCTTACAGCCCGTGATTGCGAGCACATTGCCGCATGATTTGCTGCAGGCGTGCATGTGCATGCATGTACGTTTGTTGCTCCATCCGTAGCCGCCGAGCTCGAGTCTAAAAGTTCATTCGGCATGTCTCAGAGCCAGGTAGAGGAATTCTTTAGTTTTATCGCACCATTGGGCCGCTTGCACAACACGAGCTGCAGCTCTTAAGACGAGCCCGGGTTGTGGAATTTGACCGTCGGGTCAGGCTTCCTTGTATCTTGTGGGCGCACACGTTTGAGAGTGCCAGCAGTTCAACGGACGGAGGACGGTAGCCAGCCCACACTTGGATTTTGTTTGAGATTTTGCATATGTTGCTCCCATGACTGCCGAAGTTCTAACGTATACTTAGATGGAAGGAAGTCGCATTTAACATTCGGATTTCGCGTTTTTATTTCACTTTGTTCCGATCACGCAGCTTGGCAGTCATAGCAGCTGCAAGGGCGCAGGGCGATGTGTTTTCAGCATCGGGCTGATGCTGGCGGTCTGGAGGTTCTCCTCCTGTGCAGAACTCACAAGCTTGGTTCTCCAGCGGATGCACAGATAGAAGGCGGTCTCTCTCCAACATCGTGCTCTCGCTCCGCCACCGCGGGCTTGCTTCTCAAAGCTTTCCCTGCGCTGACGGAGGGCGATCTCCCGTCGGGCTTGCAGTGCTTTGGCAGCGCCGTGCATCGCCACGGGGTCGAGTCGCAACCTCGCCTCTCGTGCGGACCTCAGCCAGATGGGTTCTCGTCACCGTGCAGGTCCACGGGGCCCCTTACCCGTCCAGCTACTCGTATCGGTTCGCTGGCTCACGCCGCACCCACATTCCGCGCTGGAGCCATGGATGTCTCCCTTCCGTTCTTGGATCCGTGCGTTCATTTGATCATTCTCAAACAGTGGTCAGAAGAGCCCCTGTTGTGGGGAAGGGCAAGGAGGAGGAGGAGGAGAGGAGAGGAGAAGGAGGAGGAGGAAGGAGGAGGAGGAAGGAGGAGGAGGAGGAGGAGGAGATGGGGAAGAAGAGGAGGAATAAGAGGAGAGGAGGAGGAGGAGGAGGAGAAGGGGAGGAGGAGAGGAGGAGGAGGAGGAGGAATAAGAGGAGGAGGAGGAGAGGAGGAGGTGGAGGAGGTGGAGGTGGACGAGGAGGAGGAGGAGGAGGAGGAGGAGGAGGAGGAGGAGGAGCAGGATGGGGAGGGGGAGGGGGAGGAGGAGGTGGAGTAGCAGGTGGAGGACGAGGAGGAGGAGGAGGTGGAGCAGGAGGAGAAGGATTAATACTAGTAATACTAATCTTATTCCTATTTTTACTACAAATAAGAAGTTGACGAAGCAGCACCAGACGCACACTGCTAATGCTAATCCTATTGGTACGAACAATACAGAGGATACGAATACGAGTAGTAACGACTCTTAACCATATTAGTAATAACACGAATGCTAAGAAGCATACTACGAGTACAATGCGATTAACACTACTAACGATTATGCTAATACTAGTAGTCCTATTAATGCTACTAGTACTAATAAGGGGACTAATCAAACTACTACTACTACTACTACTACTACTACTACTGCCACGCACATTAATAATCCGACGACGAATCATACTAATAAACATCCGAAGAAGACTAAGCCGACACAGAAGACGAAACAGAGGAGGGTGAGGAGGAAGAGGAGGAGGAGGAGGAGGGGAAGGAACAGGAGGAGGCGTGGGCGGGGGAGATGGAGGATGAGGAGGAGGATGAGCAGGAGGAGGTGGATTAGGATGCGGAGGAAGAGGAGGAAGAGGATGATGAGGAGGAGCAGAAAGAGGAGGCGGGGGAGGAGAACGAGGAGGAGGATGATGACTCAGAGGAGGAGGTGGAGGACGAGGAGGAGGAGGACCATGAGGAGGAAGATGAGGAGGAATTGGCGGAGGAGGAGGCCGAATCTGAGGAGGAAGCATGCACAGCATACGAATGACAACACGACTAACAAGAACATCGTACCAGTCATAATGCGAGTACTAACATGAAGGCTCATGTAAAGACCACGAATCAGACACACAATACTACTATTACAGCGGCTATGGTTATTCGTACGACGGCCACTGCTGGTGTTATGAGTATCCGTAGTGCTAATACTGATGCCGGTAAAACGAATAAGCATAACGTTAGCACGAACAACAACATTCACACTGCTAGCACTACTACGGCTATTGTTACTGCTAGTGCCAATGATACTAGCAAGTTTACTACGACTAATCTTATTTTTATTATTAGCCATATCCGTACTACTAATCCTGCCACTGCTACTGACCATGAAGCAACAATGATAAGCACAGTATGACTTGCCATATTATTAGTACGATTCGTAATGCTACTCGTACTAGTAATCGTACTGCTACTGCTGCTACTAATCATGCTACTACTATAACTCGTGATACCAACGATGATATTACTACCGATCGACTAATACCCGTATTGGTACGGCTACGAATGCTACTCATACTCGAAATACTACCCAGTTTCGACTGCTGATGCACATGCTATTATTACTACCACTAATACGAACCGCACTAATAACATTCCCAATGCGACTATTGATATTACGTTTGCTATGGCGAGCAATCATAATACGAATGCCAACGCTACTACTACTGTTAACACACGGCAACAGCAAATACTACATTGCAATGCGGATGCTAGCCGTAATAATAGCAATCGTAAGATTAATGTGACTAGTACTGCATTAGCAGTAATAAGCGTAATAACGATGACACCATTACGAACAGTCATACCATCAATGCTACTAGTTCTACTACGAGCGATATCAATATTTCTACTAACAAACACAATAGCAATCATGATAACGATAGTTCTAATACAATCAAAACTTGCCGTCATGGTAATACTCCAGTTATAAAACACCGGCTACTACTAGTATTATCAGTCATGCTACGATTGGTAGTGGTACTATTAATAGTAAGACTAAATCGAAGATTGCTACTACGACTATTTGTGTTTCTGCTGCTGTATTAAGAACCAGAAGACGATGATGCTGCTGATGATGATGCTGGTAAGGATGGGGGGGGAGGAAGAAGAGGAGGCGGAGGAGGAGGAGCATGAGCAGGACCATGAACAGGATGATGATGATGCTACTGCTGATGCTGATGATGCTGATGTTGATGTTGATAATGCTGATGCTGATGATGCTGATGATGATGCCTCTGCCGATGGTGACGATGATGATGATGGTGATGATGATGATGCTTATGATTATGCTGGTGATGACTATGATGATGATGCTGCTGCTGATGATGATGATGATGATGAGGAGGAGGAGGAGGAGGAGGAGGAGGAGGAGGAGGAGGAGGAGGATGGAGGAGGAGGAGGAGGAGAGGGAGGAGGAGGAGAGGGAGGAGGAGGGGAGGAAGAGGAGGAGGAGGAGGAGGAAAAGGAACAGGAGGAGGAGGAGGAGGAGGAGAAGGGAGGGGGAGCAGGAGGAGCGCTGCGAGAAAAATGGCGGAAGACGAGGAGAAGGAGGATGAGGAGGAGGAAGGGGCGGAGGAGGAGAAGGAGGAGGAGGAGGAGGAGCAAGAGGAGGAGCAGGAGCAGGAGCATGAACAGGAGCAGGAGCAGGAGCAAACACAGGAGCAGGAGAAGGAGGGGAGCAGGAGCATGAGCAGGAACATGAGCAGGAGCAGAAGCATGAGCAGGAGGAGGAGGAGGCGGAGGAGGAGGAGGAAGAGGAGGATGAGGCGGAGGAGGAGGAGGAGGAGGAGGAGGAACAGGCGCAATATGAACACACGGAAGAGGAGGAGGATGAGGAGGAAGAGGAGCAGGAAGAGGAGGATGAGGAGGAGGAGATGGAGGAGGAGGAGGCGGAGGATGAGAAGGAGGAGGAGGAGGATAAATCTCTGTAATAGCACTATTAGGATGGAGGCGAGTAAGTCTATGAATCATACTAGGACTAAGGATGCTGCGACTGCTCTTAACAATCTTTTATATAATAAACTTGCGTATGAGAAGAAGATAACTAGAACAACAACTCATATTGATACGACAACGAATATCTATAACACTAGGAGCACGAAAACTACGAATCATGTTATTGTGGTTAGTACAATACGAACAATGGTGGTAGTAAAAAAGAATGATGTTACGAATGCGAATACGAATGCGCATATCAACAATACTGATGCTACTGATATTAGTACCCAGGAGAAGAAGACGACGCAGACGACGAAACAACATACTAATACGAATAATCATGTTACTACTGCACCAAGAATACAATTAATGCTGGGAAGCTGCAATGGAAACGTATAATTAATCAGGAGACGAATGCTACTTTTTTAATTGTACTGGTATGATTGATAAGACTACGAGTCATGATACTATTACTAGCAATGCTAATACTAATGCGCAACATGCTAATACGAACACGAATAAAGGGGGAGGAACAAGAAGAGGAGGGGGAGCAGGATGAGCTTGCGGAGGAGGAGGAGGCGAAGGAGGAGGAGGAGGAGGAGGAGGAGGATCAGGAGCAGGAGGAGGAGGAAGAGGAGGAGGAGGATGAGGAGGAAAAACAACAAGAAGAGGAGGGGAACAGGTTGAGCGAGTGGAGGAGGATGAGGTGGAGGAGGAGGTGGAGGAGCAGGAGGAAGAGGAGGAGGAGGAGGAGGAAATTCAGGGAGGAGGACGATCAGGATGACGATCTGTCCATCCTCCCAGGAGTGGTCGACGATCCAGGGGCTCGACGACCCGAGGCTCGCCGGCGCCGGCGGCGGCAGGGGTTTCGTGAGGACCCGCCAGGGGGGTCGCAGCGGGTCTCCAGCTGCAGGCTTCGCCTCCGCCCTGCTCGTCCTCGTCGTCCTCGTCGTCGTCGTCGTCGTCGTCCTGCTCCTCCGCCACCTTCTTCTCCGCCCGCTCCTCCTGCTCACCCTCCTCCTCTTCCTCTCCCTCTCCCTCTCCTCCTGCTCCTCCTCCTCCTCCTCCTTGTCCTCCTCGTCTTTCTCCTCCTCCTCCTCCTCCTCCTCCTCCTTCTCTTCCTCCTTCTCCTCCTCCTTCCCGTCCGCTTTGCGGCCGCGTTCGAGGCACTGAGGTGTCCCAGTGCGGCTGGTGGAGCGAGCGCGCTGGGCGGCCGGGTCAGGTGTAGACGTAATCCTTCGCGGGGCGTCTCC